AGGGGGAGAGAGAGAGAAGGACTATTGGGATGCTATGTATCAGCAGTTTCATTCTGCAATCGCTTCAGACTCACATCTTCAGTAGATTAATCACACACATCAATTCAATCTAGGTTCAAATGTCATGCAAATGTCTAACCCTAGAATAAAACTTGGGTAAAAACTGTGGTTAAGGCAGTTTAGCCTATGTCTGGATTTGGACATCATACAAGACCTAATCACAGCTTTTGTTTATCCTGGAGGAACCCTTGAAATAATGTTCAGGTCTCAGGAAACTCTTGCATAAAAAATATATCTACAGCTCACAGTACTGTAGATCAGAGTTCCTCAACCTCAGCAACTTTAAGATGGATGGACTTCAAATCCCAGAATTCTTGGGAATTCATGCTGGCTGGGGAATTCTGGGAGTTGAAGTCCACCCATCTTAAAGTTGCTGAGGTTGAGGAACCCTGCTGTAGATCACGATAGCATGATCAGTAAGCTGAGTTGAGGTGGATAAAAATTCCCACTAGTAGAAGCACTAGCATTTTATGGCATGCAAAGTTCAAAACAATGTTTTTTTATTTATTTTTAACCATGATCTTTTGCGGAACCCCTAGTGGCCTCTTGTAAAACCCTAAGTTGAGAAAGGCTGGTTTAGAGTACCATGGAACAGCTTGAGGCCTCTGGTAAAGAGATGTAATTTTTTATATAAAAATATAAATACAATAATTAATAAAATAAAAATAAAAATAAGTAAATTTTTGTAAGAGTTGTTGCTTACCAATAAGTTTGGGGTAACTGCATGTTGGTCACTACAGTAACATGAAAGTAACAGGCTTTGTTAACTTCTATAGATAATATTCTTTTCACATGCAAATTTTGTTTGATCAGATGTGAACTGATTACAGTAACCTAGAGAGCTCTCCTGATGAAGCTGTTCATCAATATACAATTCACAAAAATCGAAAAATACCAATTTCAAGAACAAAACATGGAAATGGCTATATGTTGTTGAAAGATGGGCACCTTTTCCAGTTCATACAGAACTTTTTAAATTCAGCAGCCAATCTATTATCACACCAACAGAAACTAGTCCTAGAACTTATTCTGGCTACTACACAGCCCAGTAAAAATACCCCAAGGAATTAAGGTTACTAAACTAAATGGCTTCACTAGAAATCTAAACAACTTAATGGTTAGGTAGATTTCAGCAGCCAAGATGATTTATTTTCTAAGGGCTGCGAAATAGATGAAACAAATAGGCCAATCAAGCTGAAATCATAAAGTCTTTAAATATCTCAGTACAGATTTATGTAACATCCATAGCTACTGCTACAGAAAACAATAATTTCTAACTATCCTTCTACTTAGAACATTCTTATGAAACCTTCTTTTTAAAAAATAAAAATTCAAGTTCACAACGCACAGAATTTCACATTCATCTGACGTTTCTAAAGTGACTATAATACGACAGCAGCTCTAAAAAAAATCATGATATTGCTATCATTTTAATGAAACACATGAAAGCCACAAAATCTGAAGGCTGCATTTCTATGAATACAATCAGTTCAATATGAGAAAGTCAGTACGGGATCAGAATACTTCTCATTTATTTAACAGGTCACACACATTATCCTTCTGGTGGCCTTATGTCAACCTGCAAGAGAGACTGTATACAGAAGGTAGGGCTAAGGCAGAGACTACTACTACATAGTGAGTTCAAAGGAAAAAGCAAGACTCATAGTAGCACTGCATTTGTATTACAATCTTTTAGGTAAGTTTGCCTTTAAGATAAAGGCAGTACAAGTAAACACGTCCATCCCTCTTGGAAAACAAAATTCACTCCAGATGCCTGGAGCAACAGACTGTTATATACAGGTAGTCCTCACTTAATGACCACAATTGGGACTGGAATTTAGGTTGCTAAGTGATGGGGTTGTTAAGTGAATCATCATGTGACTGGACCCAATTTTACAAACTTTTTTGCGGTGGTCGTTATGTGAATCACGTGGTTCCTCATTGATTTTGCTTGCCAGAAGCTGTCTGGGAAGGTCGCAAATGGTGACCACGTGACCTCGGGTTTGTGCAACCCTCGTAAGTGTGACTGGTTGCCATGTGCCCAGATTGCAATCACATGAACACGGGGATGCCATGACGGTCATAACTTCAGGCACCGGTCGTCACTTTTTTAGTGCTGTCATAACTTTGAATGGTCGCTAAATGAATGGTCATTAAGTGAGGGCTACCTGTATGTAATACACGGCCATATCTTCTGCTGAAGATATAAAAACAGTATCTTCTATTGCTATAGACCTACTATTGTAGATGAAAAGAATCACGATGCCTGTGCCATTATCTATTTACTTCTTGCCAAGTCAAAACTGAAAACACCCTTGAATGCCTTTAAGCAGTCTTTCCAAATCAGGCATCTTCCAGATGTGTCAGGACTTTGAATTCCCAGTGTGAGAATTACCAGAACTCCCAGTCAAAGGCCCTTCTTGCTGGGGAATGTTGAGCACTGCAGTCCTCACACATGTGGAGAGGGCCGAGGTTGGGGAAAGATGCCTTTGGCCATGCAAGAAGGCACTTCCTAGCAAGTCTTACGAATGACAACTGCAGATCAGTTATAAATACTGTAGCCACCATGAAAGCAATGACTAAATCACTGTGTTAAATCAGAACTTAAGGAAATGGTTTATTCCAATGGTTTTCTTCCAAGGTGGCAAACCTATGTAGAGTCTGCATCACTCCAAATTGGCAGTGGAGCCACATAACTGCCTACCTTTCCAAAAATGCTATCCACGTTAAAAAAAAAATCAGATGCAAGGAAGAGCATTAGACTAGCTTTCTAAAAGGCCAAATCCAAGACACTAATGAGTTGGAAACATAGCAGGGAATGACCCACAAAGGATAGAAGCAGTGACCATTTATTTGGCACCTAGTGCATCATTTCTTTTGGCTCATGTAGGCCAAAGCACGTGGGCTATCATGCATTAGCTTCCCTCCGGAAGTCAGACTGACGCCAACTTGAGTGGCCTTCCAAAAAGCTGCCAAGGTGGAATTGCTCTGCAGCGCTCTGGGGGTTGAAGTTGATGTCATCAAACTCCAAAGTTTTGATCTTGGTTATTTTAATTTTTATGTTGAATTTGTATTGTAGTTAAAAAAAAAACATTTGTTATGTTTCAACATGAAACAAGTTGTATGAATTGGGGGCTACATAAATTAAATCTTCTCTGCCAGTGCCAGGGACATCCATGGCGGTGTATTGAAAAAAATCACATTGGTGATTGATTGAAGTCTCGTTCCTTTTCATATGCGTTGTGCATAAAGAGGAATGGGTTCTCAATCACATAAGTGCAGCCATCTTGACTGTTTTTGGCCCCCTCTCCCTATGGACAACCCTGGCCAGGGTGATCCTTTGACAAAACTACTTTAGGAAGATCATTTAAAAATGGAGGGAACACAGCTATCATGAATATGGCTGTTCTGGGGAACAGAATTCTGCCTCATCCTTCCAGTGTCCCACTATCACATATTACATGTGATGTGTGACCCACACAAACACAAGACTGCAGTTTTCTCTGCCATTCCAACACTCTCACCATGTCTTCCACTGTGTCCTATCATGGGACAAACAGGTCTCAGCAACATCTTTATGTCTGTGTGTGTCTCCTCATGAGGTTACCTTCATCTCGGCTCCAGCCATGAGTGAAACAGACTTAAGCCATCCTTAGCTGTACAGGTTGTCATTAAATGGCATTCTTCCTCTTATTCCAACACTGCCTAAGAGCAGCCATGAGTGAGTAACATGTTTTGTCCCCTGTTATCTCGGAGGAAAGTCAGTGACTAGAAGTGGCTGTGAAGAGAGCAACAAGAATAGGGTAGGAATTGGCAAGAGGGACAGCAAATTCCATGCTGGCACCCCACCAAGGAGAGGTGGAGGTCCATAACTCAGGAGCGAGGAAAGGTCTCCTGATCACATTCCCTGGTTTGCCATTCTATCTTCTAGTCCCAGCAGAAATGTCCACAGGGCATCAAAAAAGTGAAGATGGCAGCCACAACCATGCAATCAAAGCCCCACCTTTTTTACACACACAATCTTGACTTTTTTTTTATGACTACCATGTTGACTCTTTGGCCCCTCTGCGGACACCCCTGAGCCCCAGTTTTTCTTGTTACTCCCTTTTCAGTTGCACCCTTACTCTAACCATCAGCCTTGTTGGCAATCTGAATATAATGTTCACACATGGCTTTTGCATGTCCAAGGCATTTAATATACCAAAGTAGCCAGTCCTCTTGATAAAACAAGACTGCAAGTAGGGCACCCTTACTGCTGTCAAAATGCAGATGGGGAGCTGGGAGGCCAAGAATTGCGACTCTATTGAATTCATGGCTGTGATAAAATTCAATCAAGGGAGAACCTTCTGATACACAACTTGGGGTGAGTCTGTAGAAGAGTATGCTGTGTGCCCATCTTTCCAAGGGCATCCAGACAATATAACATCATCTACCTGTGACCCCTCTGTCTTCTGCCACCTTCTCTTCCATCTTTCTGACTTACAAGGAAGGAAGGAAGGAAGGAAGGAAGGAAGGGACCCCATCAATACACAATGACTTTTCTTCTATAGGGCCAGGATTTGCCTGTCTGAAAGCACCCCTCTCCACTCCAGGCCCCCTGGACTTCCCATTTCTTTTCTCCTGCTCTTTTCAACCCCCATGAATAGGCTTTGCTCTACAGGATTGACTCCTCATTACTGAAAAGCCAGCAGGCCCTTGCTTTATTTGCCAGGCTCTTGCTGCAGCTCCAGCTCGCTACTCTGGAGTATGTGCACTGGCACTCTATGGGGTCTCCTTCTGCTTAGGTTCCCGACTTCAAACAGCGGGCTGACAGGCAGGATTTCAACAGGTGAAGCTGCTCCCGGTCTTCAGATCCCATCGCCTGTTGGATTCCTCCCTGCCACGTGGTCCTTGAAGCAGCACGGCCAGCAGAGCCGGCCGGTCCCCCAGGCTGCCCTTACCGGCGAAGTTCTTGGTGAAGACCAGCGTGACGAGGAGGATGGGGATCAGGACGGTGCCGATGGTGACCACGCGGTCGAAGGGGAGCTCGAGCTTCAGCTGCACGAGCAGCGCGGCCAGCGAGCCCGCCTTCTCGTCTTGCTGCCCGGGCAGGATCAGCTCCTTAAGTTTCTCCCCAGCCAGCAGCGCCGTTGCCATGTCCGGGTGGTTTTCGATGATGTGTTGCATAAGCGGCGGCGGGTCGGAGGGCACTCACCGGGCTCCAGCGGCCGGAGCAGCGGCGCCGTCGCCTCGCTGGAGAAGAGCCGGAGCCCGGGATGGGCTCAGCCTGCGGGGAGGAGACCAATGAATGCGCCCGAGCAGGCCGAGGTGGGAGGGCGGGCGGCGGAGGACGCGGGCCGGGCAGGCACCATATTCTGTGGCGGAAGAGCCCGGTCCCTACCGAGACTGCGGCACCGAGGCCGGGAGACTGCCTGCCCTTGGCGTCCGCTGCCCGCGATCGGAATGCCCGCACCCCGCGCTCCCCGCTTCCCCCGGCAGCTGCCGCCGGGGGCAGGAGCGCGCCTCGGCACCGGCGAGGCTGGAGCCAAGCAGCCGCCCCGAAGCGGGGCTCACCGGGAAGGCTCTGCCGCAGCCAGCGCGGCGGACGAGCTGCCAGGGCGATGCCGCCGGCGTCCGGCAGCCTCCCGCACACAAGCGGTGGAAGAGGCACAAAAGAGCACCAAAGCCAGACCCCAGCGCAGTGTCGCGGCTCTGCGGGGTCGTCAAACGCCAACCGGGCGCGGGCGGCACGAGAGAATGAGGCTTACTGCAGAACTGGAGTTGTCCTAGTTACCTTGTGAAGTTTTGGAGGGGGGCAGGGAGGCTCTCCCGGCCCACGGAGGAAGCGAAAGGACGGCTCGCGGAACAAGGTGGGCATGAAGAATAGCGGAGCTGCGGCAGGATGGAAAACGCCGGCCTGGTGCTTCCTCTTGGTCCAAAAGGGAGTCTGTCCCACCCCAATGGGAAGCTGCTTTTTTCCTCCCCCTCCCCAGGAAAAACAAAAAACAAAAAACACAGCAACAATCCAACAAGCCCGGCCGA